CTTTTAAAACTGAGATCTGGGTAATATCTTTTACAACAAATTTGTTAGAAGTTTTTAAATATATGAGATATATTTTTATTTCAAATGAAAAGATATTAAAAGATATTATGATTAAATTAGTTACATAGATTTTATATTATTTATATTAAGGAGATATATTTATAAATTTCTAATGATAGGTCCAAATTTACAAAAATCACACATGAATTGAAGTCATGACTTCTGTTTTAATATATAAGATGTTAGAAATATATTGATCATATAGTTTCACAACGTGTGGTTAACCGTGCATCACAAGTGTTTGATAATAAACATTGCATGAACCAATCCTAGAAAAATAAATACCCTCCTAGCTAACCAACGTATTTTATGAAACTGTTATTTACATATGATACTTAAAATCATTGCTTGTGTAGATTCTTGATTGCGAACGACAATTTAGTGGTTCTTGATTTTCACTATATGGTTTGTGACTTTTTGTTAATTTATGATGTTATTGTATTATCCGACTGAGATTTGTGGCCTAGACATTAACTGAATCCATATTTTAAAGCATATGGTCTGTAACTCTATTTGTACAAACGACAATATAGTGGTTCTTGGTTTTAGACAGGCGTCCAATCTGAATGTGCATTTTAAACAAACATTTTTCTATAAAGTTATTGTGGAAAAGGTACATCTTTCTGTTTTATTTAACTGGAGGTAGTCATTTTGTGTGTATTTAAAAAACTAAAGTCCTAACAAATAACCTCTAAATTCAAATGAATCAAAAATATAGTTGGGGGTTACACAAACAACTTATGTAAATATGTAGCCATATATGTATTTTATTTTCTTAAGTAAATCTGTAGCTTAAGTTTATATTTTATTAATATAATGCAAGATTTAGGTCTTGATAATGCGTCGGGACAATTTCTGACTCTTTTTGTTTTTGTGGGGATAGAAAATATGTGTGTTTAGTTTGACTTCAGAAAATGTGATCGCAAAAACATAATCATGGCAAACATAAGTGGGTGGAGACTATATATGATGGTTTATAATTACAATGATCAAATGGGGATCCTAATCATATCTATTGTTTTGATAAAAAAAAAAAATCATATCTATTGTCTTCTTGACCTAGAAAATCATGTATTTGTCTCTTATAATTATTATATAGTGAATGTATACAATATTGATTAATATTGCCATTGCAAAATGATTTGTGTTTTGAAATTTTCATATTTAAAAAAAATATTGTAACATTCTAGTTTATGGTATATGTTAGAAAGTTAAAAAAAAAAAAATTAACTATCTATATTATCAAAGTGCATTTACCATTTCCGTCACACATTCATTTATAACTCCAGAATTAAACGTGATTGATTTGGAATAGTGGAAGAATAGTGATCTCTCGAGAAGTGAACTGATATTGTATGAATGAGGTCAAAATATGGAGAAATGTCATGTGGTGATTACAAGATCAGTAAATAAGATTTTCGAACCTCCGAAAAATGAACGTAATATCCATCACACATAATGGGGGCCACATGCCGAGTGAGTAAACGTGTGAGGCTCATTAGTCGTTGGCGGTCGGGGTACTCCAAGAGGTAGATGAGTATGAAGTCAAATGAGAGTTCACACTAACATGAGTAACAATCCTAGATTATAACATGGACGTTACATTTTTTAGAGGGGATGCATTATAATATCTCAGTTTATGGTATATATTGAAAGGTTTAAAGGAATTGATTTGACTACATATATCACTAAAGTACACTTACATTTTCTATCGCATATCCATTTAAAATTCCGGAATTAACCGTGCTTGAGTTGTAGTGGAAGGATGAGTGACCCATCAGAAATTGATTTATGATATCGTGTAAGTAAGGTTAAAACATGAAAAATATCATGTGGTGATTGCAGGATCAACAAATAAGACTTTTAAACCTCCGAAAAATTAATACATTGCCAGTCACACGGAATGAAACCCATTAGCCGAATGAACAGACGTAAAAAACCTATTAACAGTGGACAGTCGAAAGGTTACAAATATTTTTATTTATTATAAATATATTATTTTGTGATCAAATATTTCATACAACTTTTAACCAATCAAAATTTAACAAACACAATTAATATTTCAAAGTTTGTAATTTACCATTATTATCTAATAAAATACGTTAAAAATATACAAAATGTATTTTTGGAAACAGTTTCTTTTAAAACGTTGCTCATATAAAAATGGATGAAATGTTTATGCTAACAATATTCAACGATTTACTTCATAATTTGGCTAAACAATGTTTTGCTATTTTATGGACAAAATGTTTGATTGATAGAGCATTAGCATAAACATTATGTTTTTTATTATCCATAAAAATTTGCTTAAGAAGTATTTAGAAAAACATTTACCAAATGCTAATGCTCTCCAAATGCTCTTTACTCAATATTTTCGTAGGAAATATTTGGAAGAGTATTTGCAGTTAAAATATATAAAACTTAAATATAATTATATATGATTTGATCAAAAAAAAAAAAAAAAAAAATTATATATGATTAAGTTTTTGTTTAATAATATAAAAAATTGATTACAAAAAAAAAGAATATTTTTATAATCAAAAATATATTTATATTTTTTAAAAATAAGAATCATAATTAAATATTTTTAAACATTTTAAAAGAATAATATTTCACATTTAAAATATAATATAATTTATATAATTAATTCATTATTTTTAATAACAATCATAACATAATATATATTTATGTGTTATAGATACAAACATATATATATTATTTAGACACAAATAAATAAACTATATAACATATCTTAATTTTATGATAAATTTATATGAATCATTTACTGCTCTATCAATAAATAAATAATGATAATATATATATATATATATATGTATTACAAATAATGTACTAATTTATTTAATAATATTAAAATATGTTTATATCCAACAATAATTTAACATTTTTAAAATAAATTTTATATGGTAAATAATAATATTTCACATATAAATTATAATATAATTTATATAATGAATAAGATTCATTATTTTTAATAAAAATATATTATAAAGTTTTAAATATTATTTTAAAATAAATATTATTATATTAATGATTATGATTAGTTTACAATTGGTACTACTACTGTTTTACTAATAATTTTATTAACAAATTTAATGAAAGAATAATTTTTAATAAAAATATATTATGAATATTTAAATATTACAATAAATATTATATTCTTAATGATTAACAACTTACAGCTTCTACAACATACTAATTCTACAGCATATTGCTACTGCTGCAATCGAAGCTTAAGAGATTGATTGGTAGAGCATTAGCATAAGCATTATGTTCTCTATTATCCAGTCAACATTTGGCAAAGAAGCATTTACCAAATGCAAATGCTCTCCAAATGTTGTTTGCTCAATGCTCTCATATAGAACTTTTGGGAGATCATTTGCATATGAAAACTATAAAACTTAATAATATTTATATATAATTAATTTATTTTTGTTTAATAATATAAAGAATATTTTTATAACTAAATCTAAATTTATATTTTAAAAAATAAAAATTATAATTATAATTAATTTTTTAAAAGAACAATATTTCACATTTAAAATATAATATAATTTATATAATTACATATATCATTCATTATTTTTAATAACAAACATAACATAATATAATTTATATATTATCAATATAAATATATTATTTAGACCTTAATAAATAGGTTATATATTAACGTTTATGATAATTTTATATATGAGTAATTTAGTGTTCTACCAGTAAATAAATAATTATAATTTATATATAAATTATAATTAATTTATTTATTTATTTAATAATAATTATAATTTAATAATAATTAATTAAATTATAACTATAATTTTATATATGAGTGATATGTTTATATCCAAAAATAATTTAATATTTTTAAAATAAATTTTTAATTTTTTAAATATAATTTAGATAATGAAAATTCATTATTTTTAATAAAATTATATATTATTAATATATATTCTATAGATATTATTTTAAAAGAAATATATTATTTTACTAACTATTATGACAATTTTAAAATCGTATACTGCTAATGCTCTGCCAGTCAGTTTATTAAAAACTTTAATGAAAGCATACATGTTTCTCTAGCATACTGTCTCCTCAACATATTACTATTGCTTTATCATCTGTTGTACCAATCGAGACCTAAGAGTTAGTCACCGCAATGATATATTTTCATAAAAGTCACCAAAAACTTGCACGTATGGTTTCTATTTCTCATGTCGCTGTTGAACAAAGTGGGCAATTAACTACACAAAAAGAAGGAAAAGAATGACAAATTAAAGGAAAAGAGGAAAAGTGAAAGTCCCGTTAAAATCTTGTGTTAAGTATCGAGTCATAAGAAGTTTTTCCTGAAAATGTCAAAGTAATTATTTCATCTGCCAATTATATAAGATAAAGTTTTCTGCATTCAAAAATGGAAAACCTTTAATTACACATTGGAGAAAATAATAGATAAAAAAGCTCGAACCAGAGTAAAAAGTTTTTTATCCTCTCTGTTTTATCTTTTTGTGTAATAAGACAACAGTTTCACATATATATGTAAAAATCTGTGTATATATGTAAGTCACCTTTGCACCATCCTATATATTCTCGAACCCATAAGGAATAAGCCATGAAGGGGTAATGATGTGTATAATGCGTGAATATATATATCTACAGTATCTACAATGTTTATACGATAATTACTTTAATGTGATTTATAGACCCGTAACCAACTTACTCGATAGTATAATGATGATGATGTTATTGTATTATCTTTTATTTTTTGAGAAAATGTTATTGTATTATCACCCGATTTAAACTTCTAACTGCGTACTACTGAATATATATAGCATAATTTTTGGCAGTAAAAAATTTTGATTTTTGTTCCAGCTGAGCGGACAGATTTTAAGTTAAAATATTGTATAATCCAATAATAAGTCTGCATAATCCGAAGTTTCGGTTCATATCCAATAATTAATTAACCAAATCATGAATCCAAATGTCTCAGCTAAAATTATCATCGATACTCCACAAGCATACATAATGGCTTCCCCTTGAGTCTCTGCTTTCCCTGCAAAAAATTAATTTCTCACCTTAAAAATTGAATGTCACACCAATAAAAAAAAGATCTCAATTTATTATTTCAAATATAATAAATTAAATTTCACGACAGCAAACCTGTAATTCAGGTAACTCGATCACACATGCACATTCCACAACTTCTGCCCCGACCCTCTCTGACACGGTCAAAACCATTAACAAATAGTAATGAATTTCTTCGATCGGTTAGGTTTGAACTTAATAGCTCATAAAGCTTAAGGAATTTACCAAGCAAGTTAATGGCTGCGCAGAGAGTCCCACCCGTCGCAATTAGATCATCAACGATCAAAGTTCGCTCTCCAACCTCAACAGCTCCAACGTGCATCTCTAACCGGTCATTTCCGTACTCCAACTCGTATTCTTCAAATATTGTTTCACCTAATTATATTTCACGCCATATAACCATAAACAACTTGCTAGACATGTAACATTAACAGTACTATTTATGTTGTAAGTTATATGAGAAAAGTAAAAAAAATTAAAGAACCTGGCAGCTTCTTGGGTTTCCGGAGAGGAACGAACTTTGCACCAATGGCTAATGCGATTGGTGGACCGAATAGGAAACCTCGAGCCTCTATTCCTGCAGTGACAACAAACGTTGTAAAAATGCAAGGTTTTTACGGTTATGTCATTTTAGCAAAGAAGGTCTCTAGGTAAGTAGCATACACCACGATAAGTCCTAGCCCTTTTTTTATGAAAACACATTTGTTTTTTTGTTATATTTTTTTTTGTCAACGTGTTTTGGTTATTAAGTTGTACAACTTACATGAGTCTTATATTAAACAACAATGGTACATAAGCAAAATATAAAAAAAATATCTTTGTCCCAACAACGAACCCAATAGACAGGTTAAAGAGCACTAACGCAAAATATATGGTCGAATGTTTACGAGTAGTGTATCAACAAACCCAATAAGATGTTTTATCTTTATTTTATACATTTGAAATAATTAACAAAAAGATTGAATACTAAAATTTATAACTTTTTGTTTATGTCATGTACCATCAACATGTGCTATGCGCACCTCATTACACGGTCTTTATGATAAATACATAAATATCAAATAGAATCTCATAATACAAATGTGGAAACCAGTTTCATGGTTCTCGACTGATAACTATAAATTTTTGTATATATCAAATGAGTTTGTATTGCTTTGATAATTTTCCTCTAGGATCTGTATAGACGAATTCTACTAGTTTAAAAAGGCAAATGGAAAAGCAAACAGATTTAGAAAAGTAAAGGAAATAATGTACTGCATCTAATATATAAACTTTTGTACTTCATTACACAGAAGAAGAGACAAAGCAAAAAGAGAGATGAAAGCAGTTGGCCACAACAATGATGAATGATAGAAAAAGAAACAATACCCAAACCAAATTCGTTTGGACCGAACTCTTTTAAAGGTTACATCCATAACTCCACTGCCCATCTATTCAAACATGACCCACCACACACACATTTTTTTACACATAAACAAGACCAACAATAAGATTTAAGAAAAAGAAGAATATATATAATGACCTTTTCTCTTATTTGATTTAGGAGGAAGAATGACAGTCAATCTCATTTCAATCACTCAATCACACACAAAGATTATATTTGAGAGATAAGAGAGAGTCTTGTCTCAACTAAAAGTTTGAGATAATAAAAGATACATATAACTGTGGATGTACCTATCTAAGATAAAAATGGAAACGTCGTATTAATAGGAACGGTAAAATGTCTCTTTCCATATGCATCTGACTTTCTAATATTGATATACAATATGTTATTTTTTGCATAAGAAAAAATATGTTATTTGTATGCATAAGAAATAAAATGTATGTCACTTTTTATGTATTTCGAATAATCATATATAAATGCAAACACAACCACATGCAAAAACAAGAACACCAGTTTTTAAATTAAAAAAAAAAAACTGATCACGTAGTTAGAACGACCACTTCGAATAACCTAGTTGAGCTATACCTAATTGAGAAGTATATTCCAAGCATTCTCCATCGAAGTATAATGTAAAGAAAGACTTGGAATACAAAATTAGACCGTAAGCTATATTTTAAAAGTACCTATTTACGTTTCGAAATTACACTAAATTAGACTAATGGAAAAATGGAATTTTTCAGTAATGGGATTTTTCGATACGTCACTTAAATAATGACCTACCTACTTTTTCCCCGGAAAATCTTCAAACAATAAAAAATCGAGTTCACTCAATTAGGTCAAAAAGTAACCCATCCAGATTACACTATGTTCATTAAGAAAATGAATACATATTAGAGAAAGAGTGAGAGATATAATACCTGCAACCACTGAGATGTTCTTGTCTCTGTATCTCTCAACAAATAGATCAATTGTATCTTTGAAGGCTTTCGGATCCAACAGCACTGTTGTTATGTCTTGAAACATTATTCCTGCGATTTTCCCACCTTGTTTAATCATCCTTTATACTCATTTTTGGAATATATTTATGTTCTTTTTCTTCTCAAATTACGACTTCATCGGAAACAAATTAAACAGATTCGAGACCAAGAAGACTACTTCTTCAGACAAACAACATTTTCTACGGGGGAAAAAACACAAAATATAGCTCTTCGATACAAATAACAGAAGAAGAAGAAGAATAAGAAGTTACCTTTCTTGGGAAAATCTGGAACAACGCGGATCTTTGTTTTGATTCCGTTGATACGAGGGTCCTCTTCTTCTTTGTTTCCCGACATTGTCAACAGAAAAAAAAAAACTGAATGTAAATCCTCTGTATTTTCTTATGGGAGAAAGAGAAAAGTGAAGCAGTCGTTAGACTCTTACCACTTTTTATACCTTTTAAACATTTTAGTCAGATTCTCTGTGCTTAATCTTATGCATATTATTAGTTTAAAACCTAATATCACTTACTGGTTTAGATTCTATTTAATATTGAAAAACCTCCTAAAATAAAAATAACATTAGTATTTTATGTTCAGACAATTATATGACTAATACAAAACATTTCTATGTCTCATTAAGATTTTTCCTTTTTATTAAGATGATCGAGCGTTTAAACGTGTCGTTCAAACGTTCGAATTCAAACGTTCGACGTCTTGATTGTCTGTTTTAGTTAGCCCCATCCTTCTCTCATAAAAGCTTAAAAGACAAATCGTACTCCCTCGTTAAATGATCTCATAGATATAGAGAGACAACAAGTGGTCTGTTTCATTATCTTATGTAACTGATGAAAGATTGATAGTTATATATATCTTTGGAGAAAAAAGACGTTTTCAGCAACGAAAAATACACCATTTACTAGTTATCCACTGTTGAAATGTACATGCTTAAATGGTTTTATTAAAGCAATTTTTAAGCATACATGCTTAAATGGCTGTTTGCGAAGTCATATATTACGGTCAAACAGAAAATCAATACAACTATCATCAACTAGTTCGAGCAAGATCTTTCAGATTTGCCTAAGAGCACCTTTAACGCGGTCTCTTAAGACCGTCTTTAGGGTATTTTTATTTTTAAAAAAAAGAAAAATACGTAAATACACAAGAGGCGTTGTTTCATTTAGGAGGCAGAAGAGACGGGTTTTACATGACACGCGTCACACATTCACGCTTCTTCTCTTTCTTTGCCGGATTGTTTTTCTGATTCTCTCTCGACTCCTCACGACACCGACTCTCTGTGGTCCTCTATCCTCGACGGTCCTCTCTCTTCGAAGGAATCTCTCGTCGACGAAATTTTAGCCGGAGTTTCTGCTGGTGGTATCTTCGTTCTATCGGTCTCCTCGACCTCTCCGCTTCTCTCTCGGTGTTCTCGATGACTCCGCGTCTCCCTCGCGGTTTTAGATATAGTGATGATTCATTATTTGATCTTTCAAGTTTTGATCGATCTTTGATTTCTGTCTACCAAATCATTTCCCAAAACGTCAAAGACAAGGGAGAAAATAGAGTCAGGAGAAATAAAATGATTTAGATAAAATAAATCTACAGGTTGTGAATCTTGTGATTAGGAATTGATGTTAGAAGAGAACATCAACTAGCATGTGATGTGAAGCTATGGTTTAATGAGTTATGATGGAGTAATAGAGCTGACGCATTTTCTTGTCATGGATTATTCTTGTGATAGATTGTTAAACATGAACAGCTTTTGATGTATTATAATTAGATCATTTTGACTCTTACAAGAACAGAACAGTTTCTCTGGTTTCAAGCGTTTAGCTTTTGTTTGTTTTTGAAATCTTTAGGGAAGGATATTGACAGGAGCTACCATTGGTTTGGCCATAGCTGGAGGAGCTTATGTCAGTACTGCAGATGAAGCAACCTTCTGGTACTTTAACTTAATAAGTGTCTGAGACATTACATGTCTTTTGCTCTCATTGTTGTTTTACATAATAACATTTTTGACCTTCTGATCCATCTTGTGTGTTGGACTCCAAGTTTGGGGAAGGAAGTTCTCAAACCCAATAGGACTTGCTGCTGGTTTTGACAAAAACGCTGAAGCCACAGAGGAATTACAAGACTTGGGTTTGGTTTTGTTGAGGTTGGCTCTGTAACTCCAGTTCCACAAGAAGGCAACCCTAAACCACGCATCTTCAGATTACGTGAACATGGGTGAGCATCTCTTCTTGAAAAAACCATTATTATCATCTTTGCTTTTCTTGATGTGTTCTTTGGCCTTTCAAGAGCCATTATCAATAGATGTTGATGCCATGACTAGTTCTAGTTTAAGTTAATATGTGTTATGTTGATAGAAGAGTGAAGAATGAACATGAGTTCCAGTTAATATGTGTTATGTCTTCAACGATGGCTACAGTGCCAGTTGTACGTGAAGATCTTGGTGACAGTTCAGAGAACTCTGAAGCTTCATCAAGTGAAACGAAATAGGTACGTTGTAGAGTTACAAAAAAAAATAGAATCATCCTTCACCTTGAAGTATAGATGTTTGATTTGTTTTTTATGTTTATACTAGCGTCTAAATCATCCTTAATATAATAAACCTTTTGCACAAGGTATAAATTGTTTATGAAGCATCGATCTTCTCATCTTGTAGAATAATAATGTTGCAGGAACAGAAAAATTTGACAATGATAATGAAAGAGACTAGTATTGGAGACTAGCGTTGGAGCCTAAAAAGTTAGTGTCTCTTAAGTATGTCTCTTGACTAACATTTAATATTTTAAAAATCATTAAGAGACTATAAGTGGGTATATGGGTTAATGATGCTCTAAGAGCATGAACAACCATGAACCCCATTAAGTGTCTCTTAAGTATTTTTTAATAATAAATGTAAGCTAAGAGACATAGTTAAGAGACGGTAACATTAATATGCTTCAATGCTAGTCTCTTATTTAGGGGTTCTTAATAATAAAAAATTAATAAATATATCAGATTATAAAAAAATTTATTTTATTAAATAAAACATACTAAAACATGACATTTTAAACATAAATAAAAACATGACATTTTAAACATAAATAAAAACATGACATTTTAAACATAAATAAAAACATGAAACATTCCAGTTCAGTTATTGTCTGCATCACGTCCAAATTTACGCCATATATGTTCAACCAAATCATTTTTCAGTTGTTGATGCATTTCTTTATCACGAATTGTAGTTCGAGCACGCATCCTATTGGCGATATTTGAAGGGATATCAGTAGAATACGTGAGATCGACATGTGAAGTTCCGTTGTCTTCTGCTTCTTGGAAATCTGAAACGTCAAATTGAGTGTATCCATCTCGTTCGTCTTCTACTATCATATTATGGAGTATGATACAAGCTCTCATAATCTTTCCAATTTTGACTTTATCCCAAAAAAGTGCTGGATTTCTAACTATCGCAAAGCGAGCTTGAAGTACTCCGAAAGCACGCTCGACATCTTTTCGGACAGCTTCTTGACGTTGAGCAAATAAAACCGCTTTAGGCACTTGTGGTAATCGAATTGATTGGATAAAAGTTGCCCAATTCGGATAAATACCATCGGTGAGATAGTAAGCCATATGATACTCTCTTCCATTGACATAGTAAGTAACTTGCGGAGCGTGACCATTTATTATATCATCAAAAACAGGTGAGCGATCTAGAACATTGATATCATTTAAGGTACCTGGAGGTCCAAAAAACGCATGCCATATCCAGAGATCGTATGAAGCAACGGCCTCTAAAACGATTGTTGGTTTACCCGAACCTCGAGTATACTGCCCTTGCCAAGCGGTGGGACAATTCTTCCACTCCCAATGCATACAATCGATGCTTCCTATCATCCCGGGAAATCCACGATACTCACCAATATCGAGTAAACGTTGAAGATCAGCAGGATTTGGTCTTCTTAGATACTCTTCGCCGAGTAAAGAAATGATTCCATCCACAAAATGTTCCACACATGACCGAGTAGTCGATGCCGCGAGTCGGAGGTATTCGTCGGCCGCATCAGCCGCATTACCATATGCCAAGACACGAATAGCTGCTGTACACTTTTGAAGTGGAGAGAGACTACTCCTACCGAGGCCATCTCTGCTTTGTTGAAAGAATTGAACTTCATTAGAGAGTCGATTAACAATACTCATGAACAATGACTTGTTCATTCGAAATCGTCGGCGGAATATATTTGGAGGATATGTTGGCGTCTCACCGAAATAATCATTCCATAATTGTAAATTGCCGGCTTCACGATGTCTTTCGATGTAAATTCGTTTTTTTCGTTTTTTTCTTTCTTCTTCTCTGTCGGCTAAGGAAGTCTGGAAAGTTTCGAAAGTTTGCTCGAAACGTTGGTCTATACGTTGATCAAAATATTGATCAAAGTATTGATCAAAAGTATCATCAAGTGATCCATCTATTTGGTCATGAGAGGAATGGTCATTAGAGGAATGGTCATTAGAGGAGGATGCCATTTTTTCTTGGGTTATTTGAAAGAAAAGGAGATTATGAAAGCCTTTGGTGAGAAGAAGATTTATGAGTTTGTTGAGAAGGAGAAGAATGGTTATAGAAAGACTTTTCTGAGTTTGTTGAGAAGGACAAGAATGGTTTGAGAAGGAGATTATGAGAAGGCAGAATGAGTTTCTTTCGTAGACACAACATACATTTATATAAAAAACTTAACATGAGAGAACTACAATAATTGTGTCACAAGTACATGACTCAGCCGTGACACAATGACAATAAACAACAACACTCGTGACACAAGTACACTACCCTCGTGACACAAGACTACAAGGTTAATATGACACAAGTACACTACCCCATCTTCAACACTCGTGACACCAGACAACACGCGTGACACTACACAACAAAAAGACACTAGACTCCAAGATTAATATGACACAAGTACACTACCCCATCTTCACCTGATACTATCTTCACCTACTCCATCTTCACCTGAAAATAAGACAGCCAAAATCATGAGATAACAAACACTAATCAAATTTATACTTAAACTAATCATACAATAATACTTACACTGCGTAGAACTCAAGGATGAGTTTTTTCTTGAGGGTTTCCTCATACTCGGCTAGCGGTCCTTTCTTTGCAACCAGAGACTCGAGTAGATTCAGTTTTGATAACCTTTCTCTCCCTTCGTAATCCTTCTGTTTAATATCCCACATAATCTGATACTCATTCATGGCTTTTTCATCAGCCACAGCCTGCTTCCCACGGGCCTTTGCTGCTTTAACGCCCGCAGGACGCTTGGACTCAGACGCCTGAGAAGTTGATGAATCTACTCCATCATCACACTTCCTCT